TGTGCCCAGACCGGCCCTGAGGCCTGTAGCAAGAATTGCCCCGAACTTAGCCAGAAGGCCCGGTCCTGAGGGCGCTGTGCAGGAAAAGTGTTTGAACGCAGTGACCATGTGCCTGTTCACACGCTGGGGTCCCACACCCAAGTGTTACTAAGAGCACCCCTGAGGCGACCACTCAGGGGTCACTGGTTCACGGACTTTCTGCCCTCCCGGCCCCTGGCCAGACCGAGGTAGATCCGCTCAGATCAGGAGGAACTGGGCCCCTCCGGTCTTCCCGGGGGAATTACTCTCGGGCCCCAACAGCCTGTGGGCGCCTCGATTTCCGGTACTAGTTGTCAGGACCCCCCATCATTCCAGCAGGGGTGCTATACAACCAATCATCCCCGCAAAGCTAGAATGACGGTGGAGCCCCCTACTGGACACTGATAGAACAGATACTACACTTCATCTTAGCCAAAAGGCCGAAAAACGTTTTATGTTTATATAATTCTATATAGTTTATAGTTCTATAAAAATACAAAGTTTTGGCTACATTTGGCACTTAATGAGTGAACGAGGGAATGAGTGAATGAGGGAATAACAATCTCTGATTGAACGGATTCCATCCTACGCATTTTGTTCCTAACATCACATTTGGACATCCTGTGGTAGAGGGCCTAAGAAAGCAACTGGGAAATGACCCGTTTTTTGGGGTTACCAGACCAGCATACACAGCCTTCCCTGCATACTATATCCAGAGGACGGAGCCGTCACCCGGATTGTTCACCCTGATGTTCAGGAGGTCCTCTGAGTCCAGCAGACCACCGCTTGATGACACCCCTTCTTGAGGGAAACGACGCCTGCTGATCTTAATACATACATGTGCGTTTCCTATGCGCGGTTGGTGAGTGCGCATTTCTGTCATTTCTACTGGATCTTTCACAGCTGTGTTACTAAACACGATTTCTTCTGCGCTCTAGCACCCAGGCGGGTGGCAAATAGATGGAACCAGAACTGGAAAAAAGCGACCACCAGTGCATCAAAGGTTGTGCAGCTCCAAACAAGGCTGGGGAAGCCCGACCAACACTACAAAGCGAAACAAAAACGAGAAGCGCACAAACCTTGCGCATTACCTCAATAAACAAAAATGTATTAATAAGAAAAGGTCCTCACAAAGAGCGAATAAAATCAGGCATGTAAGTCCTCACAGGGACTTCAAAGATAAGGAGCCGGCGCGAGTCCCATCGTGGGGGTAGACACTGACGCGTTTCGAAGGCTATACCTATGAGCTCTGATGAAGAAGGTTTGGCCTTCGAAACGCATCAGCTGAACTGAGTGTCTACCCCCACGATGGGACTCGCGCCGGCTCCTTATCTTTGAAGTCCCTGTGAGGACTTACATGCCTGATTTTATTCGCTCTTTGTGAGGACCTTTTCTTATTAATACATTTTTGTTTATTGAGGTAATGCGCAAGGTTTGTGCGCTTCTCGTTTTTGTTTCGCTTTGTAGTACAGCTGCGTTACTACCTGGTTGTCGCTTTATCAATCGAAATGTTGCACGAACCTTTCTGAACGAACTGTTGGTTTGACATTTTAGCGCTGCACTTTATATTTATTAATCTTTCTTCATAAATCGCGGCCAAAATGTATTCATCTATCTTTTTAGCAAAAAAAAACAAATAACTCAAATTAGTTTATAACCAAAAATTATAATTTTTCAAAAAAAATAATTTACACTTTAATTTTATTTTTTTATATTATTATTTATGTTTTGTTTGTTTTTTTACATACTGTCACCCTAGCAGTGCATGGTTACCATGGTGACAGTGTACTACTTGTGGGGGGTGATGAAGATTTTTTTCTTTTTTTACACTGATTGCTGTTACACCCATAAAGGCTGTAAGAGGAATCATTTCTCCTTCTCTCTGGCTGCATTCCTGCAGCCATTGAGAAATACTGTGAGAGCTGTGATTGGTCACAGCTTGTCACATGGTACAAGGCTGTGGTGAATGGCCCTGTACCATGTGATCTCTGTGATCATTCACAGATTTCACACGTAGTATGATGTCAGGAAGTGACAGTTTACTACAATTCATGTGATCACTGATTGGCCAATTACTGATCACGTGAATCGGGACCTTGCACAGAGGTCCCATACAGTGGGCACCAGATAGCGGACACAACGGGCACTAGATCCCAGGGAGCACACACAGGCAGTGAATGCGGGGGCCATTTATAAACGGCTACCCGCTCCTGCACGGCTCCCGTCCGGCCGTTTATGTACATGGGAAGGATGTGGTTAGGAAGCCAAGATTCCACTATTCATATGCTAATGAACTCGTTGGACTGGTTCATATGCTCAGGACAGAAATGTAAATTGACTGGAAATAGGGGGAGGGGAAAGTGGACATGGACAACCATGTGATCAAGATAAAGGAGCCGCACTGGTAGTCCTGGAGGACTCTGGGAAGCCGGGAGCAGTCTGGAAGAAGGAAAGGATAGATAGGCTGGGCATGTGTATGTTGTATGTATGTTCTCTGTATGTTGTGCATTGTTTTCTCCTAAAATTGTGCGCAATTTATAAAATAATAATACACAAATCATTTTTATTTTATTATCCGGATGTAAAAATTTGTTTCTTTAATGCAAACATCTCCATCTTGCGTGCTCAGCGCTCCTTTATCGCGCCTTTTGTCTCCGCCACGCGTAGTATACGGCAGCGAATCTGACATACAATACGTTGCGTTCCTCTATTTTTCCCTCGTACTCCGGAGAACGAGGATTTCCAGCTTTATCACATCTGCGAGGAGATAATCAACAATGGAGTCTCTGTATTCTATTATCACCGACTTCTAGAAAACCCAAATACAGCAAAAAAAGAGGAATGCGCGGCTGCCGCATATTTAATCCACTACATAAATATGTGCGTTATCTGCGTGTAGAGATAAGCCGCCGTTCCCGTGTTCCCTCATATCAGTCTTGTTTCACATGTTGGGTTACTGCCAAACGGAGAATTAATCTGAGAACTGAAACTTCCTTCTGGGAGCACCAAAAACTCCGAGCCTTCCGCTGGTCTGTGCGTTGGTGCAGCTGGAAGGGAAGAATCGGAAGATGAATGGAACCTCGATTTTCTGGACTATAAACATTCATACAATCTCCATCATCCACACCATCACCTACACCACCATCTACACCTCCACCTCCACCACCATCTCCACCACCATCTCAACCTCCACTGACCATCTCCATCACGATCTACACCACCATCTACACCACCATCTACACTGCAACCTCCACCTTCACCTACCATCTACACCACCATCTACACCACCACCTCCACCACCATCTACACCACCACCTACACCTCCACCTACCATCTACCCCACCATCTACACCGCAACCTCCACCTTCACCTACCATCTACACCACCATCTACACCACCATCTACACCTCCACCACCACCATCTCCACCTACCATCTACACCACCATCTACACCTCAACCTCCACCTACCATCTACACCACCATCTACACCTCAACCCCCACCTCCACCTACCATCTACACCACCATCTAAACCTCAACCTCCACCTCCACCTACCATCTACACCACCATCTACACCTCAACCTCCACCTACCATCTCCACCACCATCTACACCATCATCTACACCTCCACCTACCATCTCCACCACCATCTACACAACCATCTACACAGCATCCTCCACCTTCACCTACCATCTACATCACCATCTACACCTCAACCTCCACCTACCATCTCCACCACCATCTACACCATCATCTACACCTCCACCTACCATCTCCACCACCATCTACACAACCATCTACACAGCATCCTCCACCTTCACCTACCATCTACATCACCATCTACACCACCATCTACACCACCACCTACACCTCCACCTACCATCTACACCACCATCTACACCTCAACCTCCACCTACCATCTACACCACCATCTACACCTCAACCCCCACCTCCACCTACCATCTACACCACCATCTACACCTCAACCTCCACCTCTACCTACCATCTACACCACCATCTACATCTCAACCTCCACCTACCATCTCCACCACCATCTACACCATCATCTACACCTCCACCTACCATCTACACCACCATCTACACCTCAACCTCCACCTACCATCTACACCACCCTCTACACCTCCGCCACCATCTCCACCTCAGCCTCCACCTACCATCTCCACCACTATCTACACCATCATCTACACCACCATCTACACCTCCACCTACATCACCATCTACACCTCCACCTACCATCTACACCACCATCTACACCTCCACCACCATCTCCACCTACCATCTCCACCACAATCTACACCTCAACCTCCACCTACCATCTACACCACCATCTACACCTCAACCTCCACATGCCATCTACACCTCAACATCCACCTACCATCTACACCACCATCTGCACCTCAATATACATCTCCACCTCCATCTGCACCCAACCTCTGCACTTCCTTTTACCCCTACATCACCATCTACCTCACCACATCATCACCACCATCTTCACTGCCACCTACCTCTCCCTCTACACCAGGATCTATAAACCTGCTGTGCCCGTTATAAGGGGTTCCCACCATCCCTGTGAGATGATCATACTTATATTGCTCCAAGCTGGACCGGAGTAAACATGCAATATAGGTCATCCCTGGATGCTGCATCAATGGAGCCTTCCCTGCCCCCGAGGTCCTCTGAGGAGAAACGACAGGAAAGATTATTCATCTGAAGCAAATGTTCCCCTTTCCTGGACATGTCCCGCCCCCACGGGTCCTTCCAGCTGCAGATGTTTTTACTGGACGGTTTTTAGCACAATTCTTTATTGTGATTTTGTTTTTTTCTGTAATCTGGATTTTTTTGGGGGATGCCCTTTTTTATATCAATGTTTTTGAGGGAGGAGCTCTATCTGATTGGCTGCAGCTTCTAATGCACATTGCGAGAAGCTCCCAGTGTGCGGTGACATCAGAGGAAGCCATTCCAGTCTGGAGGGGAGAAGCCACTACACCTGTGCAAGACTGAAGGGGAGGAGCCAGGACACCTGTGCAGGACTGAAGGGGAGGAGCCAGGACACCTGTGCAAGACTTAAGGGGAGGAGCCAGGACACCTTGCAGGACTGAAGGGGAGGAGCCAGGACACCTGTGCAAGACTGAAGGGGAGGAGCCAGTACACCTGTGCAAGATTGAAGGGAGGAGCCGGTACACCTGTGCAAGACTAAAGGGGCGGAGCCTGGACACCTGTGCAAGAGTGAAGGGGAGGAGCAGATACACCTGTGCAAGACTGAAGGGGAGGGGCCAGTACACCTGTTCAGGACTGAAGGGGAGGAGCAGATACACCTGTACAAGACTGAAGGGGAGGATCCGGTACACCTGTACAAGACTGAAGGGGAGGATCCGGTACACCTGTACAAGACTGGAGGGGAGGAGCAGGTGCACCTGTGCAAGACTGAGGGGGAGGAGCTGGAACACCTGTGCAAGACTGAAGGGGAGGAGCATATACACCTGTGCAAGAATGAGGGGGAGGAGCTGGAACACCTGTGCAAAACTGGAGGGGAGGAGCCTAACCTGTGCAAGACTGGAGGGGAGGAGCCAGTACACCTGTGCATGACTGAAGGGGAGGAGTCGGGACACCTGTGCAAGACTGGAGGGGAGGAGCCGGTACACCTGTGCAAGACTGGAATGGAGGAGCCGGTACACCTGTGCAAGACTGGAGGGGAGGAGTCGGGACACCTGTGCAAGACTGAAGGGGAGGAGCCGGTACACCTGTGCAGGACTGAAGGGAAGACTTGAGGGAGGAGTCGGGACACCTGTGCAAGACTGAAGGGGAGGAGTCGAGACACCTGTGCAAGACTGAAGGGGAGGAGCCAGTACGCCTCTGCAAGACTGGAAGGGAGGAGCCGGTACACCTGTGCAAGACTGGAGGGGAGGAGTCAGGACACCTGTGCAAGACTGAATGGGAGGAGCCGGTACACCTGTGCAGGACTGAAGGGAAGACTGGAGGGAGGAGTCGGGACACCTGTGCAAGACTGAAGGGGAGGAGCCAGGACACCTGTGCAAGACTGAAGAGGAGGAGCTGGGACACCTGTGCAAGACTGAAGGGGAGGAGCCGGTACACCTGTGCAAGACTGAAGGGGAGGAGCCAGGACACCTGTACAGAACTGAAGGGGAGGAGCTGGTACACCTGTGCAAGACTGGAGGGGAGGAGCCGCTACACCTGTGCAAGACTGAAGGGGAGGAGCCGGTACACCTGTGCAAGACTGAAGGGGAGGAGCCAGGACACCTGAACAGGACTGAAGGGGAGGAGCCGGTACACCTGTGCAAGACTGGAGGGGAGGAGCCAGTACACCTGTGCAAGACTGGAGGGGAGGAGTTGGGACACCTGTGCAGGACTGAAGGGGAGGAGCCGGTACACCTGTGCAGGACTTAAGGGAAGACTGGAGGGAGGAGCTGGCTGTGTGGATCTTCCTCTGTCATGGTGGGATTTCCTCTCATTCCATTGGTGGGACTTCCTCTCATTCCTTCGATGGGTTCGGCTCTCAGTGTGATGATTGGCCTCTATCACTTTGTCTTGATGTGAAGGGCGGGGCTATGTACCCCGCAGCACCGGCCTCGGCTGGGACATCCATCGTTTGCGGCCGACTCACCAGGGGCTGATGGTGGAGAGTCATGGCGGACTTCTTCATTCACAGTCCTCCTCCATGGAAATGTAAATAACCCCCCCCCCCCCGCAGCCCTTCCCTTCCACTGACTCCTCCCACTTCCTGGGAGTCCAGGGTGTCAAGGCTCCACCCCTACCTGAGTTTTCAGAGTGACGTGGTTATGCGCACCTCTCTCCGAAGCCTTTGGGATCCGCCCAGGACCTGTGATGTCACTGCAAGGGGCGGAGACACCTGGAGAAAATCTCTGAATTTTTTCTTTTTTCAGGTTTCACTTATTTCCCCCCAAAATGTGATATATTTTCTGAACGCAGAGACCCCGGAGAATAAAATGGCGCAAGTTCCAGAATATCAGCGCAGCCGTATTTCAAATGATTATTTTTATTACAAAATATACTAAACTTATTATTAATGAACACAAATGCAGTTTTTGGGGTAAAATATAAAAAATTAGGTTATGTCAAATAAATAGATTCCAGAAATGTCCATCCACAGAAATGTGCGCAAAAAACGTTTGGATCCATGAGAGACGCGACTTCAGCTTCCATGACCCTAAAAGGGCGACTTTCGAGCCGCCATGTTCAGCGACATTCTCTAAGTGCCGCTCCATTGTCTTCTTCTGACATGGCTGCTCCGGAGGCACGCGCTTACAGTACCGTACGTACATGGGGGGGCGCCAAACTCGTACGTACATGGGGGGGCACCAAACACCATGAATAAATCAATAAATTGAATAAACAAATCGATCAATAAATTGAATAAATAAATAAATAAAATAAATACAGTTAAAAAAAAACAATTGATCAATTAAATAAATAAACAAATAAGTCAATAAAAATAAATAAATTAATTGGTAAATAAAACATATCAATTAAATAAATACATTTTAAAAATCAATCAATAAATAAGAAACAAATCAATCCATATAATAAATAAGAAAAGAAAATCAATAAAAAAAATCCATGAATTAAATAAACTAATCAATAACAAATCAATAAATAAAATAAAAAATTAAAGATCAATAAATGAATACATAAAAAAATAAATCAATCAATAAATAAATCAGAAACAAATCAATCAATAAAATAAATAAGAAAAGAAAATCAATGAAAAAATCCATAAATTAAATAAACTCATCAATAACAAATCAATAAATAAAATAAAAAATTAAAGATCAATAAATAAATACATAAAAAAATCAATCAATCAATAAATAAATAAATAAAGAACCCGTCAGCTGAAGCGCTCTTTCGTCCAATTAGGCGAAGTGAGACGACCTGCGCAACGCAACGCGTTCCGGGGTAAAAATAGATCTGATGACTCTGATAACACTTGAGAAAAACAAATCAGAGGAGACTTTTTGACGGGAATAATTTCTCACCGACTATATAAAGCGCCTCGTGCCGCCATTCCACGTGACTGCGTTACTGACACATCCCCCTGCGGTGGGGCCACAATGGCGCTGAGTCTCTGGCAGCACATTATCCTGAGATTCCCCGCCGGAGATCCTTCCTCTACTCTGCATCAGATCCACTTGCCCTCCGGAAGGTTTCCCCCCTTCGTGACCAGGGAAGTTTTTTCTCTTCAGCACTGTGCTGCTTTAACTGGTAATTGCGCGGTCATGCTGACATTTATATCCTTCTCTTTCCACAGACAGAGCTTTCTTTTGGGGGTATTTGAGTTACCCCCCCCCCCCCCCCCACCATGGCCATTAATATGGAGTCCCCCCTCAATACCCATTACTATAGAGATGCCCCCTACCCATGGCTGTTGATATGGATTTGTCCTTCCTCCCCAATGGCCATTAATATGGAGTTTATGGCTATAACATCCTCCACCCTTTGGAGAAAGTTTTCCACAAGATGTTGGGGGGTCTGTCGGAATTTGTGCCCATTTGTGAGGTCAGGTAGTAATGCTGGATGAGAAGACCCGGCTCACCATTGGGGTTCTAATTCATCCTAAAGGTGTTCAGTAGGTTGAGGTCAGGACTCTGTACAGGACACTGGAGTTCCTCCACACCAAACAGGTCACCCATGTCTTTATGGAGCTGGCTTTGTACACAGGGGTCAGTCATGGGGGGACAGAAAAGGGTCTTCACCAAACTGGTCATCCATGTCTTTATGGAGCTGGCTTTGTACACAGAGGACAGTCATGGGGGAACAGAAAAGGGTCTTCACCAAACTGGTCATCCATGTCTTTATGGAGCTGACTTTGTACACGGGGGACAGTCATGGGGGAACAGAAAAGGGTCTTCACCAAACTGGTCATCCATGTCTTTATGGAGCTGGCTTTGTACACAGGGGACAGTCATGGAGGAACAGAAAAGGGTCTTCACCAAACTGGTCATCCATGTCTTTATGGAGCTGGCTTTGTACACAGGGGACAGTCATGGTGGAACAGAAAAGGGTCTTCACCAAACTGGTCACCCATGTCTTTATGGAGCCGGCTTTGTACACAGGGGACAGTCATGGGGGGACAGAAAAGGGTCTTCACCAAACTGGTCATCCATGTCTTTATGGAGCCGGCTTTGTACACAGGGGACAGTCATGGGGGAACAGAAAAGGGTCTTCACCAAACTGTTACCACAAGGCTGGAGGAGGACAATTGTCTCCAATGTCTTTGTATGATGGAGGATTACCAGGACCCATCACTGGGGACACCTCAACTCCAAATGTTTGAGTTGGGTTCACATACTTTTGGCCATGCCACAGGTTCGGTGATTAGGTCCACAAACATTCGGCCGTATCATTTATGTAAATGTTATAAAGGGAAATATGGAACAGCAAGCAAGTACAAATATAGAAGCCTCAGCAAATATGAGGATGAGTCCTAATGTGATGGATGTGATCTGCCTTCCGCACCTACACCTCCTCCCTCCACGCAGCCAAACAAGCCTACTTCCTGACCCTCATCAAGGCCCTCTCCTCCAATCCTCGCCGACTCTTCTCCACCTTCAACTCTCTACTCTCTCCACCCCCACCTCCACCCAGCACCTCACTCACCGCCCTTGAGATTGCCAATCACTTCAAAAACAAGATTGACACAATTCGCAAGGACATTGCCGCAACTCACACCCCCTCTCAACCCGTCCCCTCTCACACAGCTACCCCCTCATCCCCCCTCCCCCTCAACATTACCCGCAGGGACTTCATCACTGCTCAAACTCCCTCCAACCCCGTTCCCCCTCACTCAGCTACCCCCTCATCCCCCCTCTCCCACGGCCCCACCACTGCTCTGACCTCCACTCCCACCCCTCCCTACATTCCTCATACTAAAGCTCCCCCAACTCTCCACACCTTTGACCTTACTACCATCGAGGAAGTCTCCAAGATCCTCTCTGATGCCCGCCTCACCACCTGCCCCCTCGACCCTATCCCCTCACAATTCCTACGACCTCCCTCCCCCTCCATCCTACGCTCCCTCACCCACATCTTTAATCTCTCCCTCTCCTCCGGCACTTTCCCCTCCCCACTGAAACATGCACACGTCACCCCCATACTTAAAAAGCCCTCCCTGGACCCCAATGACCCGAACAACCTCAGACCCATCTCCCTGCTCCCACTTACATCTAAACTCCTCGAGCGCCGAGTCTACACCCGCCTATGCTCTCACCTCAACGACAACAACCTCCTCGATCCCCTACAGTGTGGCTTCCATCCCCTACACTCCACCGAAACTGCCTTACTCAAACTCTCCAACAACCTGCTAACCGCCAAAGCTAATGGCCACTATTCAGTGCTCCTACTCCTTGACCTCTCTGCGGCCTTCGACACAGTGCACCACCCCCTCCTCCTCAAAATACTACACTCCCTCGGCCTCAGAGATTCTGCTCTCTCCTGGCTCTCATCCTACCTATCACAGCGCTTCTTCAGTGTTACCTATAATGCTACCACCTCCCCCTCACTCCCCCTCTCTGTTGGGGTCCCTCAAGGCTCTGTCCTTGGGCCCCTTCTCTTCTCCATCTACACCTCCTCCCTTGGCCAACTCATACACTCTCACGGCTTCAACTACCACCTCTATGCCGACGACACACAAATCTATCTCTCAACCCCCCACCTCACCCCCTTGGTCTCCGCCCGAATCACACACCTACTGAGCGACATATCAGACTGGATGTCACTCCACTTCCTTAAACTGAATCTCTCCAAAACCGAGCTCCTTGTCTTCCCCCCCAACCCGGACCCCACCCCCATTGATTTCTCCGTCACATCCAACAACGCTACCATCAAACCCGCCCTGCAGGCCAGAGTACTGGGTGTCATTCTGGACTCCAACCTATCCTTCCAGCCCCAAGTCCAATCTTTAACAAACTCGTGCAGACTCCACCTCCGCAACATGCAGACTCCACCTCCACAACATGCAGACTCCACCTCCGCAACATGCAGACTCCGCCTCTGCAACATCGCCAAAATCCGCACGTTCCTAACCCCAGAAACCACTAAACAGCTCATCCACTCCCTCATCATATCACGACTCGACTACTGCAACTCCCTCCTCACTGGCCTGCCTCGCCGCTGGCTATCCCCGCTTCAGTCCATCCTGAATACGGCTGCCAGACTCATTCACCTTTCCAACCGCTCCATCTCCGCCACCCCCCTCTGCCAATCCCTCTACTGACCTCCATTCAGTGTCCTCCACCCCCCCTCTGCCAATCCCTCCACTGGCCTCCAATCAGTGTCCTCCACCCCCCTCTGCCAATCC